TCAGAACTTAATCATGTTATAGCTGGAAATTTGTTTCCTTTGACCAACATGTCATTTCCCTTACTCTCCGGCAACCACTATTCTCCTGTTTCTATGACTTCAGCTTTTTTTAGGTTCCACATATAAGTGAGGTCATGTAATATTTGTGTCTTAGTTCACTTAGCATACATAATACCATCAAGTACTATGCATGTTGTCACAAATGACAGGACTTCCTTCTTTCTTATGGCTGAATAATATCCCATTGTGTGTATGTGGTATTTTATACCATATGATGTGTATACACTTGTGTATGTGTGTGTGTGTGTATATACATACACACACACACGTGTAGATAAATGAATAAAGAAAATGTGTATGATCCTTTTAATGTACTGTTAAATTTGGCGTGCTAGTATTCTGATGAAAATTTTTGCATCTATGTTCATCAGGCATATAGGACTGTAGTTTTCTTACAGTGTCTTTTTTTTTTCTTTTAAAGATTTTATTTATTTATTTGAGAGAGAGAATGAGATAGAGAGAGCACGAGAGGGGGAGGGTCAGAGGGAGAAGTAGACTCCCTGCTCAGCAGGGAACCCGATGCGGGACTCGATCCCGGGACTCCAGGATCATGACCTGAGCCAAAGGCAGTCACTTAATGAACTGAGCCACCCAGGCACCCTCTTGCAGTGTCTTTACCTGGTTTTGGTATTAGGGTAATGCTAGTTTTGTAAAATGAGTTTAGAAGTGTTCTTTCCTCCTCAATTCTTGGAAAAACTTGTGGAAAATTGTTATTCTTTTTAAATGTATGATAGAATTCACCAGTGAAACCCTCAAGTTTTAGGCTTATCTTTGTTGGGAGGCTTTTGATTACTGATTCAATCTCCTCACTCCTTTTGGTCTGTTTAGATTTTGTTTCTTCACGATTTGGTCTTGGCAGGCTGTACATTTCTAGGAATTTATCCATTTCTTCTAGGTTATCCAATATGTTGGCATATAACTGTTCACAGCAGTTTCCCATGATCCTTTGTATTTCTGTGGTGTCAGCTGTAATAATATCTCCTCATTCATTTATACTTTTATTTGACTGTTTTCTCTTGGTTAGTCTAGCTAAAGGTCTATCAATTTTATCTTTTTTAAAATCAACTCTTTTTTCACGAATTCTTTCTAGTCTCTATTTTATTAAATTTCTGCTCTAGAGTTTATTATTTCCTACCCTCTGTTAATTCTGAGCTTACATTATTCTTCATTTTCTAATTCCTTGAGGTTTAAACTTAGGATGTTTATTTGAGACCTTTCTTTTCTCTTAATATGTGGGCATTAATTGCTATGAATTTCTGTCTTAGAACTATTTTTGTTGCATTTCATTTTTTTCAAGATACTTTCTGATTTTCCTTTTGATTTCTTCTTGACCCACTGATTGTTCAGGAATGTATTAATTTCTTTGTACTTGTGAATTTTTAAATTTTCCTTCTATTACTGATTTCTAGTTTCACACCATTGTGGTCAGAGAAAATACCTGATATGGTATCAATCTTCTTAAATTTGATAGGGCTTGATTTGTGGCCCAATATATGATCTATCCTGGAGAATGTTCTGTGTGCGCCTGAGAAAAATGTTTATTTGGTGTTGTTGGATGGAATGTTCTGTATATGTCTATTAGGTCCATTTGGTCTATAGTATAATTCAGGCCCTTTGTTTCCTTATTAATTTTGTCTGGATGATCTACCCAGTGTTGAAAAGTGGTATTCTGTGGTCCCCAAGTATTACTGTATTGCTGTCTGTTTCTCTATTTAGGTCAATTAATAGTACCTTAAATATTTATTTAGGTACTTCAATGTTAGGTACATACATATTTACAACTGTTACATCCCTTTGATGAACGGACCCCTTCATTACCATATAGTTACCTTCTCTATCTCTTGTGACCAATTTTGACTGAAAGTATATTTTACCTGGCATAAGTATAGCCACTCCTGCTCTCTTTTGGTTTCCATTTGCACAGAATATCTTTTACTATCCTTTCACTTTCAACCTATGTGTGTCATTAAAAAGCTAAAGTGAATCTCTTATAGACACTATACTGTTGGATCTGTTTTTTTTTTTTTTATCCAACAACCACTCTGTGTCTTTTGACTGGAGAATTTAGTCCTTTCATGCTTAAAGTAATTATTTCTAGGTAAGGAATTACTATGGCCCTTTTGTTAATTGCTTCCTGGGTTTTTTTTTTTTTTTAAGTTCCTTTGTTCCTCTCTTGCTGTCTTCCTTTGTGATTTGTTTTTCTTACTGGTATGCTTTAATTTCTTTCTCTTTATCTTTTGTATATCTATTAAAGTTTTTTTTCTTTGTGGATACCATTAGGCTGACATAAAACATCTTATATACATAATAGTCTATTTTAAGCTGATAACAAATTACCTTCCTCTATGATGCTGTATTTCTAGTGATATAATCTGATGTTAGTGTTCTCAGTAGAAATGAGACATTATCACCACTGAATCTAGTTAGTTAAAGTCCCAGAGAATTTCTAGTCATTCATCTGCTACTTAAAGGATGCCTCTACTATTCTTGTTACAGAACACATGGAGACCAATAAGACATACAGTCTCTGTCCTCATGGAGGCCAAAGTTTAATGGGAACGTTGTCATCAGGTAAACAATTTATGAAATTACAATTGTGATAAAAGCCCTAAAGAGAAGTACTACAGGCTGGGAGCATTATCATGGGGAGACTGGCCAATTCTGAAGTAAATGGAACAGTGCTTTGAGGAAGAGATGTAAGCAAAGACTTAAGAATAAGAGTTAAAAACTGAGAGAAAGAGCAAAGTACATGCAAAATTGAAAAGGAGCTAAACATAGCAACTGGATATCAGTTTGGTTCAATATGTTAAGGAAGGGAAAAGGGGCTGTGAAAGGAGCCTGGAGGCAAGTGACTGAGACCTTGCAAGTCCTTGGGGAACCAGCTTAAGGAGTTTGCATTTTAAGTCTAATGGGAGGGCTATGTGGTTCAAAGCAGAGAAGCAATAAGAAGGGATTTACAATTTAAAAAGCAATGCTTCCTATATATGGAAAAGAAATTTAGGTAAAGAAGAATGACCAGCTGAAAGGGAAGCCATGGCTGTAGTCCACAGAGGGGATGATGGCACCATAGGAGATTTTTGAGGCAGTGGTGATAAAGAGATTCAAGATATATTTATGGCTTGATGACACACTTTATGTGGCAGATAAGGAGGAGGAAAGAGTTAACCCTGAAGCTTTTTGCATGAAAAATGAAAAATGGAGTGAATGACAATGCCATTTCACTAACAGCAAATATTTTCTTATATAATAAGGGTTGTCAAACTGGGCTTCCCCACCCTGAATTTGGATAATTAAGGTTTTAAACTTATTGCAAGAGTTTTATATTCATCCTTCTCAATTTTTTTTTTTTTTGGCTCATACTTGCAGTCAGTTCAGAATATTTAAAATTCTTTGTTCTAACACCCAAAATCTCCTTATTAACTCCTCTCAGCTTTCTATCACACACAAATTTTGGAAGTCACATTTGTAATCACTTATGAAGTTGTTACCGAAGATGCCCGCAGGATGGCACTGAATCATCAAACAACTGAGGCCTATAGCTAACACCAGCAATTACACTAAACACTTAGAATGTGCCTAGCGCTTAATGTTCATTATTTAATTTGGTTTTCACGATATTGTTTCCAACGTCAAATACTCACTGAGCCCTTTTATGTGTAGGAAACTGCCCATTTTAGAGAGAAGGAAACTCAGGCCCAGAGGTGAAGTTAATTGGTTTTACATTTCACCATTAGTAAAGGGCAGAGTTATAACATGAACTCCTGCTTAGAGGCTCTCAAACACACGCTGTTAAATTCTGAGGTTTCATTTGTATCCTTGTATTAAATTTTATTACTTCCTTTTTCTTATCCCCAAGCCCAGCTCTAAGGTATGAGAATACATATACACACATACACATGCACAGGCCATAAGGAATTCTTCCAGACAAGCTTCTCTATTACCTTTATCAAAGAACTTCTCAGTATTATCTGTACTACATTTTCTAATTTCTGCATGTTCTTCATGGTATCATGTTTTTAGTTTGAGGGCTTTTTCTCCCCTCCTTCTGCTATTATAGAGTTCAGCTTCTTGATCAGATAATGTAATTCTTCTCTATCCCCTCTTTCATAGAGTCAGCATTATTATGTATTCCTGTTCAAATTCTAATATCCTTATTAGGTTAGAAACCAGTTTTCACTGTTAAATGATAGAGGTCAAAGAAATCAAGATTTTATACAGGTGAGATTTGTTGTTTACATTTTAAGAAACATTGCTGTATTTCATAAATAATTTTTATAAAATGGGATCACTGAATTTCACAATATTCTATTTGGGCTCAAATAACAGTAACCTGGTTTGCCAGGCTGGTAATTTAAGAAAATGAATGCAGATAAAGTAAGTAAGATTCTGAACTAATAGAACTCTTCCTGTCCCCATTTCCGATGAAATATTCTCAGAAGAATGTTCTGGTTAAGGAAAAAGGAGCAAGTATAAAATTAATCGAGAATATATTTTGCTCTTACAATGCATTTTGGTTTTATCAATAAGTTAATTGCATTTCCAAAGTGCAACAACTGCTTTCCACGAGGCATATGAAAAATTCTCTATCAATATCAAATCATGATAAAATTTTTCAGTTTGGAGAAAGGATAGTTGTTTCACAAGGCTTATTAATGCAAGAAAAATATATAGCCAAGAAAACACTACCAAAGATTTAACTGGCTACAGTGATTGTCATTTTCAAATTCGAGAACATGACAGAGCAGTTTACTGAGGGTAAAGTCTCAGTGTTCTGCTTCTAACACAATGTGGGGTTTTCAAAAGCTGTTGTTTATGAAGTTTAAAACAATAACAAAACAGCTACATCTACTTAGTATTCTCACTAAATGCAAAATATCCTTCTTCAAATATCAAAAATAAATGTTTCCTAAGCAACAATATACCTAGGAAACCTCACTCACCCTTAAGTTTGTGGAGGTCCTCCTTCAAATCAGGTCCTGCGAGCATGAAGATACTCTCTGACACAGGGTTCTTATCTGTAAGATTTTCATTGCTCGTATTCACAATGGCTGTACAGTTCAGTAATGCTACATCTCCTTTCCTGAGGAAATGATAAACAAATGAACAAGTGGAGAAGAGGAGGGAGATAAGAAAACTAACTGCTAATTCTTTCAAAACATTCTATCCTCACTCCCCTTACAACGTTGGTTTTGGTAGCTCACAAGCTTAAGCAACAGTAGAAAAGTAGTTCTGGACTCAGGAAGACTAATCTGGCATCTTAGAACTTTAGTGCAAATACTACAACCCTGAAACCCACAGAACCTTCATGTGACTCCTTTGCTTCTTCTGCATTTCTCTTTCACTGTAATAGAATGCTTATTATATAGCTAAAAGTGGTTGGTTTCAAGAGTATACCACAGCAGCATTATTTATGATGGCCAAAAAGTGTCAACAACCCAAATGTCTATCAACTAATGAATTGATAAAGTGATCAATGTGATAGGTACATCCGTACAATGGAATATTATTTGGCCATAGAAAGGAATGAAGTACTGATTCATACTCCAACATGGATGGACCTTCAAAATGTTACACTAAGTCAAAATTGATTCCATTTACATGAAACGTCCAGAATATACAAATCTATACACAGAGAAAGTAGATTAGTGGTTGGCTGCAGCTGAGAGATGGGTGAAATGGGGAATGACTGCTAGTGGGAACAGGACTTTGGGGTGATGAAAATGTTCTAAAATTGACCGTGGCGATGGTCATACAACTTTGTGAATATACGAAAAACTACGGACTTACACAATTTAAACTGGTGAATTGTGTGATATACGAATTATATCTCAATAAAGCTTTCTTTTTTTTAAAAAAAAAAAAGGTATTACTACTAATAGTAATATCTTGATTGGGGTGATCAAAGTGAGAGAGCAGGTTCATGGATTCATACATGTCAAAATTCACCAAACTGTACACTTTAAAAATGTGCAGTTTACTGTATGTCAACAATGCCTCAATAAAACGTAAGTATAAGTGAAATAATATATCAACAATGTTGGGGCTTACAAAGAAGAGTTTCAAAGAAATTATGGGAAAAAAGTTTAGAAGAAATTATCAGAGTATTGTATCACGGTATGATTTAATCAAAGAATTACCAAAGAACCACTTTCCCATTGATATTCTTATTGTAAAGAAAAGGTGATCTAATAGTGTTTTCCTGAAACGTTTCAGCTGCAGTATCAGAAGTATCTAATTCATCTTCCCACGAGTCGCCCCAGCTTGGTAGTGTATCCACATCCACAAACTGGGAAGGTGCACCCAAGGGATCCATGGAATGGGAACTTCAGCTTGTCTTTCCCCAAATTCCTCAGCAATTCAATATTCACGGCAGACTTTAGCTTAAGAGAAAAGAAAGAACTGTTTTAATAGAAAAATACAGATACTATTTTACTTCTATTAGATCAAAAAAACAAATCTCTACTGTGAAATGCTCTAATAGGACATTGTGTGATTAGTTTCTTAAAATACTCCATAAAAACCAATATACAACAAAGAATTGCTGTAGCTTCTCTAAAACAGGAAGAAAGGGAGATTATTTCAGCACAAATTCTTACCAAAGAATCACGGCCATTAAAATAACCACATGGCCCACCAGTTCTACTTCCCAGAAACACAGGACAATTCATTCAACATTCACTGAATGTCTGCTATTGGGGGAGGGGGGCTTGCTAGGTGCTGCAACAGATATAAAGATACATAATATGGACAATTTAAAGAGTTCAATCAAAAAAAGTAAAGAGTTCAGTCTAATAATAATATGGAGATAAGATCTTAATGATAACTGAGTAAGACAAAATGAGAAGCAGGGAGGTTCCTGCAATCAAGTAGTAAGAGTCAATAAAAGTTTGAATTTAGTAGGAAAAGCTGATGGAGAAGGCATGGATTTGAGAGGCCACATATAAAGGAAGAATTAACAGGATTAGGCAATTTATAAGATGTGGCATGAGACACTGATGTAGTAGGATACTGGCTGTACAGAAATACAGAAATTGGAAGAGGAGGGTGATAGGAAGACACACAGTATCAAGTATTACAAAGAGAAGAAAGGATATTTAATTTGCCAAGAAGTCAGATAGCTGTTTCAGTAAAATGTAGATTCATTCATTCACAAATCTTTGTAAGCATCTATTATGTGTCAGGTACTGTTCTAGGAACTGGGGATACACTGGTGAATAAGACAGAGCAAGTCCATGCACTTACTGAGCTAATGCTTCCTGGAGAGGAGATGATAAACAATAACCAAACAAGCAAGCAGGTATCCAACAGAATGACTGGAAGCAATAAGTATTATGAGAAAAAAGGTGCTATTTGAGTAGAGAGCTAAACAAAGTGAGAGATCAGGCCATATGAAGCACTGCAGAGTGTTTCAGACAGAGGAAATAGTAAGAGAAAAGGCCCAAAGGGCAGGAAGGAGCTTGGTGTATCCCAGGAAAGGCGAGGAAACTGATCTGGATAGAACTGAATAAGCTAGGTAATGAGTGGTAGGTTATGAGGTTGATGAGAGAGGGAAAGGCTGGATGATGCAGTGTGTAAGTCCTGATAAGAAGGTTTGGTCTTATTGTAAATATGGGGGGAAGCTGTTAGAGGATCTTGATAGGGGGAATGACTTAATATAAGTTACACTTTGTCAGATAACTCTAGCTGCAGTGAAATCCAGTAGGGGTGAGAGTACAACCAGAGATGCACAGAAAATGACTGCGGATTTAGGTGAGACGGTGACGAAGGTGAGGAGAAATGGTTGGATTTGGAATGTATTTTGAAGGTAGAGTCAATAAGACTTGCTAAATGAATATGAAGGGTGAGGGAAAAGAACAGAATCAAAGGTAAGGTAACTCCTAGATTTCTTGCTTGAAAGAAAGCAACTGAGTAGATGCTAATTCTATTTACAGGGAAGGGGAAGGCTGGAGTAGGCTGTGTGGCACAGTGACAATCAAGGTCATTCTTCCTCCTGTGTTTCTGCATGTGTGAAGTTTGAGATGCCCCTCATTCGGCCAAGTATTGATGTCAGACATGCAATTGGCTATATGAGGCTAGAGGTCAGAGGAGAGGTCGGGCTACGCACGTAAATATGGAAGACTCAGCCTTTGGGTGGTATTTAAGGCTACGGGAACTGGATATGATTACCAAGAGACACAATGCAAATGGAGAAAAGAGACTGGAGGGCTGAGTCCTAAGGCAAAACTTACAGGCTGGAAAGAGGACAAGTCAAAAAAAAATGAGACAAAGAGGATCGATAAGACAGGAAGGAGCACCAGGAAAGTATGGCAGTCTAAAAGCAAAGTGAAGAAAGTGTTTTGAGGAGTGCTTGAGAAGGCTCAATAAATGCTACTGAAATGTTGAGTAACAGGACTGATGACACATCAGTGGGTCTGCTAAGGTAGAGGTCATCACCGGTAACACCGAGCAGACAAACAATTAAGAATGAAAGCTGGCATGTGAACTTCCTGTTAGAGAAGTTTTTTTGTGTGATCCTAATGTGTGTTATTAGAGGCAAGGAGAACAAATACACCTTTCTACATCTAATTCCTTGGTGTTTCTTGCTGAGAAATGTGAGATACAAAGTGGAATGAACCATGGATCAGGCACAATATGTTAATTCCTGTACCAGCACCGTGCAGTAGGAAATGTGATCATTTATTTAACAACTGAAAGGCCTTAAAGATTATACCACGATAAAACTGTATAAGAGGATTATTCTTATTTGATACAAAAAACTCTTGAGATTATTTTGAAATAAAGAAATTTTATCTAGAAGTTGGTGTTTAGTCCATCCTTTGAAACTAGAGGCAACCATGAGATCTGTCGATTTGTTAAAAAGTATTCAAACCTGAGCTGGACAAGCTGCATAGAGGACAAATAGAGACTACATTCATTTTCCATGGCTGAACTGCCTGAAACTCAATGGAATGACACTTCACAGAAATTCATACTTTAAAAAATTATTCACAGATTTTTGAGGACAATGACTCATGCTAAAACTTTTTTTAAAAAATATTTTATTTATTTATTTGAGAGCGAGAGAGAGCATGAGAGACAAAGCACGAGCAGGGGGGAAGGGCAGAGGGAGAGGGAGAAACAGATTCCTGCTGAGCAGGGAGCCCGATGCGGGACTCGATCCAGCACCCTGGGATCATGACCTGAGCTGAAGGCAGATGCTTAAACAACGGAGCCACCCAAGCGCCCCGTGTTAAAACTTTTTAACTATAATATAAAAAATTCCATTAAACATTAAACTTTGTTTTCATTTTGCAAACTCGAGTGCTAACTTTCAGGACAAAATTACTTTTTTAAGTAACTTTTCTTTCTAAGTAATACTCTTATAGGACATTTAAGAAAAAAAAGTTAAGAAAGGAAAAACTCCCAAACTTTAATAGTGTTCCTATCTTTTTCTATGATAGGTGAAATCATACTGTATGTACAATTTTGAATCCGGCTTCTTTAGTATTTTGAGATAAATATTTCCACATGCAATTATACTGTCAGGGAGAGGAGGGTGGTGCAATGTGAGAGCGGGGTTCTGTTATCAGCAGGCCTGAGTTTAGGTCTAGGACCTAACAGCTGGGTTATCCTTGACTGTAAGCCAGGGTTTCCTTATTTCAAAAATAAGAATAATACACTCCTAGGGTTATTGTGAGGATTAAGTGATATAATCTGGCACAACGCAAGACACAATAAAAGCTGTTATAGTTTTCTCAGAGCCAATGTGGAAGTCCCCTGCACCGCTGTTGAGATAAAGGTATGTCTCCGTGTATGACAAGAGACTAGAACACTTGCTGTCAAAGACTCTAATGAGTACCAAAAACCAAACACAAATTGCTGAATTAAGATAGTTATTTATCTCAATGTCTGCCCTTGAAATGACTTGTTAATCCCTAATACCTAGATCAATCCAACATCTGTTTTCTCTAATTCTGCTCCTATGCTACTAGGAAAAAAAAAAAAACAATCAGTAATTATCCTGTCTGCTGCCAAGACAAATGCATGTTTTTCAATGTCAGCTGGGCCCTCCATCAACACTATTAGGAAACGGTTTTAATAATTCTTGGGTGACTCTCTATGCTATACCATATAGCATCTGTGGTTAACATCCTCCAAGATGTCCTTCAATAACTGCTTCCTGATATCTATGCCCCGGTATAGCTGCCTCCTACAGTGAATAGGGCTGACCCATGTAACCAACAGGATACCACAGAAATGACAGTATATGACTTCCAAGGATGAGTCATAAAAGATATTGTGCTCTTTCTTGGAGTGCTTGCTCTGGGGAAATTAGCTCATATGATGTGGGACACTCAAGCAGCCCATGAGAGGTCCCCATGGAAAGAACCTGAGGGTTCCTGCCAACAACCAGCATCAATGCCCAGGCAAGTGAAGGAATCACCTTGGATCTTCCAGCCTTAGTTGGGCTTCAAATGACTTCAGCCCAGCTGACATCCTGACTGCAACCTCATGAGAAATCCTCATGAGCCAGAACCACAAAACTAAGCTGCTACCGAATTCCTGACCCATAGAAACTACAAGATAATAAATGCTTATTTGTTCCACGCATTCATTTATTCAAGCATTATTAGGTGCAGAGACTCTAATGGAAGAGAGAGATTCATAAAAATCACACAAATATACATAATCACAGAAATAAATACATAGTTAAAATCTGTGAGAAGTGTTCTGTAAAGAAGAACAAGGTGGAAAGATAATTTAGATTTGGAGAAGCAGAGAATGTCTCTTCCACAAAGTGACAGCTAAGACCAAAAGTAGAAGAGTTTTACAGAGGTAAGGGCACATCTGGGAGCCACACTTTAAACCTGCCAAACTGCCTTCATTTACGCATTTTACTCCACTTCACCAGCTCTCCTGTAAGAGAATGTCGTAACTGTCCCTTCACTCTATCTACTCTCTCCTTCCCCTTGGTTCTCCTATTCTAAAAAACTTTCCTACCCCATTTCTTCTTCAGACACCAGTGAAAACTCCTCATTCCACCATTTACCATTAAAGCATAATCTGTTTTGCAGCTCTATTTCCTTTACTCCCATTTATTCAACCTACTGCAGTTTTGCTTCCATCTCTGTTAACAATGCTAAAACTGCTCTTTCAATGTCTAACAATGATTGACCAAATGTCAAATCCAGGAACTAATCAAATTTTAGTTGCATTAACTATTGATCATTCTTTCTCTGAAATTCTATTATCTTCTTTGACAGTAAACTACTGGTGGTTCTCCTGTATCTCTAATCACATCTTGTCTGCATAATTTGTGGGCCCTTCTTCCCAGATCTTAAAAGTCATTGTGACCCATCAGATATTGGGTACTTAATGAGTAATAAATACAGTTCAGGGCTCTCAAAATTTAATGGCATTATATAGAAAGTGTCATAACATTTAATAAAGGGAAAATTCTTTTTCAGCTCCATCTTTAAGCTGAAATTGAGTCTTCTCACCAAAAAGAGGTTTAAATCTCCCCTCTTCTCCAACACAGCAAAGCCAAGCTAGGCAGGAAAATTTGATCTCTGATGCTTAAGGTACAGTGGTTCTTAACATTCTTGGGGTCACAGATACCTTTGAGAATCACCTAAGAGGTCAAGACCTTTGAACAGGTTCAAAGGCAAACACTAAACCTTAGTATTAAAGGTTCCTGAGACAAGACATCTATGTCCAGGATCAAAAAATCTACATGAGACAAGCAGAAGATTCCAGAATGGATCATATCTATTTCCTTAGCCATACTATGTTAAGGGTTACCTTCAGTATCTTCATGATTGAAGACGTAAAGACAAAAAGAACTCTCTATATATCCTTTATAATCCAAACCCGTAATGAGTATAAACCATTCTCATTACCCTGCAACTTGTCTTTTTTCTCAAATATTGTAAACATTTAGGTTAAGTGCTCATTTTTTTTTTTTTTTAACAAATCTCTCAGTCTTTTAGTTTAAGAAGTCCTCTAGGGGTGCCTGGGTGGCTCAGTCGTTAAGTGTCTGCCTTCAGCTCAGGTCATGATCCCAGCGTCCTGGAATCTAGCCCTGCATAGGGCTCCCTGCTCAGCAGAGAGCCTGCTTCTCCCTCTCCCACTCTCCCTGCTGGTGTTCCCTCTCTCGTTGTGTCTCTGTCAAATAAATAAAATCTTTAAAAAAATAAAAAATAAAAAAAGAAGTCCTCTAAATAATTCTTTATATGAATAACTGGATTGGCTAGAGAGGTTAGATTTTTATTGTTCAAGACTAAGCAGAGTCAGACAGAATACCCTGGATCACGGTCTCAGTATAACCTGGTTTTTGTCTGGATAAAAAGAAAATGGTATCATTTAAGAGAAAAGCAGGAATTTTAAATCTGTTTGCTTGTTCTTCAAAATGCTTACATTGGTTAGACAGGCCTGGATAAAAGTATAAAGAGATAAATTACAGGTTTACCATTTTTTATGCCATGTATTTAAATATTTAAAACTTCAGGGCACATTAGATATTTATGTATAATACTCCATCCCAACATCAAATCTATTATATTTAAAAATCATTCTATGCAAATGGAAATAACCTTTTTTTAAGTTACTTAGGTGGAAAAACAAACTGAAGCAGCTACATATGTCAACAATAAATACAGTAAAACAAAAATATTTCTAAGCAGTGTCAATGGTCTAGGTCAAATTTAACACGGTCATTCAAAAACATCCAGAGCACAGGCCCCAAAGGTGAGTCTGTAGTACCACCTTCATATTAAAAGAAGTTTACTATGTCTTAATAAGTATTAATAAATTGAACAATTTGAAACTTAAATTAGAAATTAGGGTTATACTCTTTAAAACTGTATGATTTGGGAATTTTATAAGATGCATTATCTTGGTACGTAGGTGCTCTTACACCAACTCTTATTAAAATTATTTTTTCCATTTGTGATTGTCCCTTCCCGTAATATTTCATAACATTAAAAGGAATTTTTTTAAGTAAAATCATGACTCATTCAAATATAAAAATGAAAATGTGTTCAACATTTTATTTAACTCAAAGAGAACCTGTCAGGTGACAGATAAAAGGAATCCCAAAATTGAACACATTAATAGATCAGAAATACTGAAATGAATGTACAAGAAGGCAACTTCCACTGAATCTCTAAGAGGACAGAATCTGCGTGTCTATAGACAAAAAACATTTAGTACTGACATTAGTTATCTATAGTTCACAGAGTTGTAAAATTGTTTTCTTGGAACAGCTTTCTATATAGAATCTAGATTATGCAGTTTTCTACTGAAGCACACGTTTTTTCCCTATAATAATATAATGCACATCTCCTATGGGAGATATTAACCATACAAACCCACCTAAATGCTCCCTTCCTCAGGAAACTTATTGAAACAATAGTCTGTTGCCACAATTTCCTCCCTTCTCATTCATCCAACCCACAGTAATCTTGTTTCAAAACACCTACAACATCTGTCTACAGTCTCATCATATCCATTCGCTATTACTGCAATTTTCTTGACTATGGAAGACTGGCTGCACGTCTTAGGATCTCAAGAAACGAAAGAAAGGAAAAACTCAAGAAACGTCTGAAAATAACCAGATAATTTAGACAAAAGTCTAATTTCTAGGTTGGCTGCAGATATCTTGCTCAATAAGCGAAGGCAGAGGCTTATTTCTTTTGTACGGCTGTATGTTAGCTTTAATTTTCCACAACTAGAGACATCGGAACTCATTTTTGAACATTTCTATACAGCCCAAGAATAGAAGCGGACAGAGCTGCGAGAGAGAAAAACTAATTTCTACCTGGTGACAGGGCACCTAAACCTCAATTACCAAGCAAGGAGGAGTCAGCCCTCGTCACTTCCCCCTCAAGTGGCCAGGGAGCGGAAACACAAAGCCAGATCAATGTCCCTCCAGGGACTGCGGGGATCCAGACGACTCAGCATCTTGGGCTTAGCGCCTTACCAAGCCCTGACTGGAGCTGCTCTGTTTGTGGAACGCCGGGTCCACAGGCGCGGCAACATAAACTCAACCCTGGGACTGTAACCCGCAAAGGTCCCAGCCGCCCTATCTCGCCTGCATCAGGGCGCGTGCCTTCCTAGTGACTCCAGCACCACTGACCCTGGTGCCCAGGTCCACCTACCCTCTCTCTTCGATAGGTCGTTCCCGACAGCGCCGCGGGCCAGAGGAGCCCGACTAACCTCTGGGAAAGAAGCGGCAGGCTCATTCTTCCAGAGAGCGGACAGCACTAACCCCCTCTGTCCGTACCCTCAGTCCCGGCCGAGTCCGAAAGCCTCCCGCCGCGCCCCCACCCCGCTCCGCCCCGCCTTCCCTCCCGGCCCCGGTCCCAGTCCCACTTCTTACAGCACTCCGGCGGTCCCATCCGGGCGGGCAGCAGGGCGGGTTAAGCTCCTCGTAGAAAGCGTCCGAGCGGCATCCCCGGACACCCTTGGCCAGGAGCTCGGCGGTCAGGCGAGTCAAAGTCCCAGGAGGCTGGAGTGACCAGCTGCAAGAGCTTTGAGTGGCGAAACACTGACTTCCGCTACCGGCCGGTCCTCACCAACCGGAGAGCGCCTACGTCATTTCCTCCTCGAAGGCAAAAGGAATGCCGGGCGGAAGTGGGTCCCGAAGCGGACCCGGAAGGGGTAGGTCCCGGCGCCGGGTCCAGGAGGCTCGGAACCTCGTGGAGGCCAAGGTGGGGACTGTAGGCGCGCGGCGTTTGATCGCTTTTGCTCGCGGCTCAGAGTTAGTTGCGTGGTCCTGGCTGAGGCCTCCGTGGCGCCAGCAGCAGAGGAGGCGGGGGCATTTGCGGCCGGTTGCTAGGGTGGTGACTGGGAACCGACCGTCCCCGGAGGCCGCCCGCAAACGCCCGGGGCTGGCGCGTGCACCGGGTCGCCCGAGGATGCTCAGGCATCGGTGCGCGGAGCACCCCCTCACTCTGTCCTGACTGAAGACTCGGGTTAGGGACGTCTGACAGGTCTGTTACTACGCCCCAGCCCCTCAGTACTTCATAGAAAACAACGTGTTTTCGGGCTCCGTATGTATTGGAAGCAGGGATGGTAGGTCGCGGAAGAAGGTTAGGTCGTGACCTCTCTCCAAAAGGCGTTAAGATCTGTGCACGTGAGACACAAATGACTAGTGCCAAGTCGTATGGAACGTACTTTTAAATACTGGGGCAATAGAAAAGGCTGCGAGAATGGTCTAGCCTCGAAGGAAGTGGGCCTCAGAAGATAATACCGATTTAAAAATAGGTTAGACATGACAGTGCACCTTATTCTAGGTGAGAGGAACAATATGAAGAAAGCAAGGTGGCAGGACAAGGAAGGAAACCAGCTAACCTGACAAGAACCCAGTGATAAAAGACCTGGAACAGAAAGTGGAAAGAGAGAAAAGAATCCTACTTCAGAAAACCTATGAATTAGGTAGAAGTTTCTAACAAAAGAGGACAGAGGCAAAGAAGCAGTTTAGCTTAGTGGTTAAAAGAAGAAATTTTGGAATTTGACTGTGTTGGAACCTGGCTTTGGCGCTTAAAACTGGGTATATGACTTTGGGCTAGTTATTGCATATCTCTTTGCTTAGTTTTCTTGTCTGTAAAATGGAGGTAAGAATAGTACCTACTTTGTAAGGTTATTGTGAAGAATTTTTTATCCTTATACTTACAATATTCTAGATGCTTTTCATTTCATTTATTTATTTATTTAAAGATTTTATTTATTTATTTTGACACAGAGAGAGAGAGAGACAGCGAGAGAGGGAACACAAGCAGGGGGAGTGGGAGAGGGAGAAGCAGGCTTCCCGCGGAGCAGGGAGCCCCAATGTGGGGCTCCATCCCAGAACCCTGGGATCATGACCTGAGCCGAAGGCAGACGCTTAACAACTGAGCCACCCAGGTACCCCTCTAGATGCTTTTTAAAAAAATATTTATTTTAGAGAGAACATGAGCAGGGGGAGGGGCAGAGGGAGAGAATTTCAAGCAGACTCCCCACTGCGCACAGAACCAGCTTTGGGGCTCAATCTGATGACGCTGATCATGACCCCAATGTAACAAGAGTCCGGGGCTCAATGGACTGAGCCACCCAGGCGCCCCTAGATGCTTCTCTTAAGTGCTTTGCACATGTTAACCCTTTTAGTTAACTCAGTTGCTATTTGTAATTAAACAACTGCATTTGTTTACTCAGGTGTATACATTGAATAAATCGCCATATAGTAAGTGCTCTGTAAGTCTTGGCTGCTATAATAATATTTTTTATTAATGAGCCAAAGTTTGCTGCAAGGCTTATGAGCCTGAATGGCAAAGGGGATTGTGTATCTTAGAATAAGAAAAAAACGAGGGGTTCAGGAAGCGAGGTAGGTTCGGTTTTACCCATATTCAATATGATGCTGCAAGGTATTTGAACGGGTATCTCATGAAAGTTTTTGGAACTCTATCATTTGTATTCGCGTACATGAACAGGACTGGAAATAGAGATATAGGTGTCCCTAGGCCTAGGTATGCTATATGAAGACTCCAAGGAAAATACTGTGGAAAGAATTGATAGATGGCCAAAGACTATCAAGAGGAACTATAGTTAAGGGGCTGGAGGAGTAAGGAAGAGTTGATGAAATGGCCTAGGCTAACAGCATTATCATCATGTTAATATTCTTTCCTTGATTTTTAACTGGCTTTGTTGGTTCTTAGGTGAGGAAAAATGAATGGTTACTAAAAGAAAATACTAAAGAGAGTAGGCATTGATCATTTGTCTGTTAAGGTAGGCTAAAACCAAGTGTAATCAGAATGGACCCTGTAGAATTAAACTAAAAGTAATAACCAACAACAAAAATCAGCTTCCCCAAAAAGGATGTATTTGCTGTCGTGTCTTTTTTAAGTTGTGTGGGTGTTTGGGGCACTTTTCATTCTTCCATATCAAGACCAGACTGGCATGACTTGGTATCTCCTTCACTTGTTGTCTTTTTTATCTATAAACGTGTTTTCAGTGAATTTGATTTAGGGGAGAACTAAGGCATCTTTCAAAAATAATATGCCATGTTGCTGTATCATTTTTCTGTGCCAAGGGTAGGTGGCTGACCTGATTTGGAAGTCAAAGAAGGACATACATGTACTACAGTCTTTCTCCCAAGTGAGGAACCACACAACCACAGCGTCACTTGGGAACTTCTTAGAAAAATCTTGGTTCCCATCTCATACCTACTGAATCAGAATAGGCACTGTGGAGCTTTGGTGGACGTGGTTCCCAGCAATCTGTTTTCATAAGCCCTCAGGTGATTCGGATACATACTAGAGTTTGAGAATCACTGCTGGATGTGTGCCACGAGGTTGGGGATTTTATTTTACTCAACACTCTAGTGTCTAAAACGGCACTTGTCTAGGTAGTGGGATTACAGTAATTGTTCACTGTAAATGTTTTCCGACTCAATCTTGTCAATCTCAGTGTAAAAATTTGTTGGTGGTTAAATGAACAGTAGTGAATTATTTAGCTGCACTAAGGCCATGTGTCAGTTATTGGTGAGGCGGGCACGACAAGGTGACCAATTTGAGACTTGAGGAATGAGGGCTTACATGTTGTCAACAGCAAATACAAAATGATGATGTCCAGGTATTTATGTCAGTGCTTTATTCAGAGTAAATAAAGGTTAAGAAGTCACAAGTTACACGTTTTAATCACATGATACACAGTGGTGTTTGCTAGCCTGGCAGAACCAGGGTGCCCATTGAGCTGACTTTTCTTTGTGTGTGCACAGCTACCTCACTTGCAGTATCAGACGTTATAACATGGGGCTCACGAAGCAGTACCTACGCTATGTTGCCAGTGCAGTCTTTGGCCTTATTGGCAGCCAAAAAGGTAATATTGTCTTTGTGACCCTTCGTGGTGAAAAAGGACGCTATGTGGCAGTACCAGCCTGCGAACACGTTTTCATCTGGGACTTAAGGAAAGGAGAGAAGGTAAGCCGGAGATCAACTAGGTCGATAACTGATTTATAGGTATTTGAGGATGGAGAGGCAGAGTGGGAGAGCTCTGATTTATTATGCACAGATTTTTTTTTTTTTAAGGTATGTGCCCCTGAAAGAGAAATCTTTCTTCGTTGGGTCTAGGTAGCCAAGTATCAGGTTCTGTTGTGTTTTTCTGCACTAAATTCTGAAAACCGTGACCAAATAGGAGCTTACCTCTTAGGTATCCATTTGTAGTATTTACAAGTAATTATTTGTAATCACAATTCTGACATGTTTGGTTTTCTCTACCAATTCTTTATTTTTCAAGTTCTACTAGTTGCCCTCACAACCAGTTATAAAATATTAGGCGTTTGAAAGGAATAATACTTAGCTGTGTTGGCAGAACCTTTTTTTTACTGATACAGAGGAGGCCCAAGTTTGTTAAACTAGGCTTTGATATTTTGTGTCACTGAGTTCCCTAAGCCTACCATTTCTACCACACCAGATACAGGTATTTTGATCTTGCCCAGTCACTGTGTGACTCCCAAGAGGTTAATACTTTGATACATGTTGCCAGCCAGTTTCTTGGGGATAAACCATGTAGCACCCTAGTGCCCTACAGGTTGGTTTCTCTCAAGATGGGGCTCAGTTAAAACAAGGATGTGTTTATAACCCTTTATGGAATATCATTTAGTGTTAACTTAGGATAAGGACTTAGTAATTTATCGCTTGGGAAATTTTTGTACATACCATGCTAATGTAGAGCTTTGGAGAAAATAATTTTAACCTTGAATGTTTCGTTGCCCTGTACAAATAATAATTCCTGTATGAAAGAACTTGAGATGGATTGCAGAATTTCATTATTATTCATAAGAATGATTTGGAATTATTGATGCTCTTAATTTTACTGTCCCCAGTTATTCCCACATATTTCCTTTGATAACGTGCTTAACTCTACCTGTACATTGTTTATGATTCTTGTGATTTCAGATCCTCATCCTTCAGGGGCTTAAACAAGAAGTCACTTGCTTATGTCCCTCCCCAGATGGGCTACATTTAGCTGTTGGTTATGAGGATGGGTCTATCCGAATCTTCAGTCTCCTAAGTGGGGAAGGAAATGTGACCTTCAATGGACACAAAGCAGCCATCACTTCCTTGAAGTATGATCAGCTAGGGGGCAGGCTGGCTTCCGGGTCCAAGGTGAGACCTTGAATCAGGTATCCAGATTTTAATCTAGTAAAGGAGTATAAGGCTTATGCTGAAGCAGCTTGTTCGCAAAAACTGTTGGGTGAAACAGTGGGTCTTTGATGTACAAAATAGGATAGGTGGTGGAAATGGAGGGAAGAGAATGAGTATGAATTGGGAGGTTCATTTTGTTGCCTGTCACATTCTCTAATAAAAGCCTCTTAAGTCTAGGAACAAGATGAGGCTGCCTCTGATAAGTATTGTATAACATCATTATGGAAGTGCTACTTAAAACAGTACACAAGGGGAAAAATAAAAAAGATGGGACAAGGAGAGACAAAACGGTCATTCTTTGCCATAAAAATTGGCAGCTTTCCTATGTCTCAGAGTCATCAGTTAGAAAACACAATGTAAAAGATTGCATTTAC